CAAGCAGGCTTTTTAGAGACAAAGTGATAGACATTATATAGAGTTTCCAGAGTTTAACTAGAGAATTCACTCTTTTTACCTTCTTGAGGCCTTTACTACAAGATTAAAGAGGATACATTTCCTTTTTGATGTCCCTTTTCCCCTAAACTAATACAATACTACAAAAAAAGAGGAAAATTTCAACCCAGGCACAGAAATTTTACTAAGGTTCGATATTTCCAGAATGTGGCTAAAATAAAATGAAATGGGTTACATCACTACAGCATTATTTTCTATGTACTTAGCCCAAATATTTATTTGCTTCAAGTAAATGGCTATTTCTAAGACTGCTTGTCATCTGTAATTCCACTTAAGGTTGACATAATTCTGTCGTCTGGTCTCCATTTCTCTTGCTCTACTGGCCAGACTCCTCCGATTCTTGTCAGTTATACTCAGTCTGTAATAAAATGAAAAACCTGGTAATGCCGCCCAGTCCACAGCCTCCTCTACACGCCCCGTGTATGCTTTGGTTTCCAGGTCAATGAGTCCACAGACACCAAAGATCCAAAGCCTTTTAGACCGATTTGGACCTGAGATTCCTACTAAATATAATACTCACTGTGTTTTTCTGGACATTCTCCACTAATTTCATTGCATCTCATAAAATATGACCCATCTCCCATAAGGAAAATGCAAAGAATGAATAGATCACCTAGGCCCGTGGTCGGCAAACTGCGGCTCGTGAGCCACAGGCGGCTCTTTGGCCCCTTGAGTGTGGCTCTTCCTAAGCCTTAGGAGTACCCTAATTAAGTTAATAACAATGTACCTACCTATATAGTTTAAGTTGAAAAAATTTGGCTCTCAAAAGAAATTTCAATTGTTGTACTGTTGATATTTGGCTCTGTTGACTAATGAGTTTGCCGACCACTGACCTAGGCTAAGGACTCCAAAAATATTATACTTAAAGGAATAGGTCCCTCAGTAGCTTAGCTCAAACTTACAGTCCACTGGATGCTTAGTGATATACAATGTGCTCTCTTCTTAAATTTTAAGTCCTCATGTTTGACATATTGACCCTCTATTGCATAACCTAAGGGTCTGACCAAGGATATTAATATTGTCTCCTCAAACATCCCTAATCCAGATGTTGGCTAACAATGTTTGTAATTAATATATGTTCAATTGAATAAACATTTACCGAGAGTCTGCTATGATCTAGGAACTATACAGTGTATACAAACATGAGTATGATATGTCACTTGCTATTTTGGAATTCAGAGTTGAATTAGGAGAAAGACATATAAGCCAAAAGAACTATGAAAAAGATACGGTAAAAACCTCCTTTGGAATATGAAAGAAGGAATAGATTTACACCTGGAAATTGTGGGGAAAGCTTCCCAGGGGACATGACAATCTGTATTTAAATGATAGAGATTTTAAGGGGGGCAGTGATGGTAACAACCCACAGACACCAAGACATTTGCATAAATGTAATTTATAAGAATCTTGGAAATCAGATCACTACTCAAAAGTAAAATATATTCTAACCTATATTTAGTTTAATAGACAGCAAAACTAGTTCAGTATACTGTGAACACACAATAAATATTACACAAGCCAAAAATGTGAGAACCTTAATGACAGCACATACAAATAGTGACATAAATTTTCCAAATAATTGTTATCTACACAAATATAGCCCTCCTCGGAGACAGCAAAGTGGTTTTGTTCACTGCAGTCTGTTCTCCAAAAATTCGTTCCGTGTATGTGAAGCTTCATAATCAAATTTCAGACAAAATTTGGATGATAGTAAAAGTATGCAGGACTCTGAAACACATCTTTTTCCCAAAAGACACACCAATTAGGTAATTAGCAGGAGGTACTGTCAGGATACTACAAGTTAACACATCCAAGTCTGGAAGAATAGTAAAAGTATGCAGGACTCTGAAACACATCTTTTTTCCCAAAAGACACGCTAATTAGGTAATTAGCAGGAGGTATTGTCAGGATACTACAAGTTAACACATCCAAGTCCGGAAGGCGAGAAAGCAGAGGAAATACTGCATCAATAGTGGACATTCAAAAGGCTAAAGTGGCCCAAGCATGAGAGCTAGCTAGGGAAATACACCTTCTGAGTTACAATTAAGGTCCTTCCTCCCCAAAGCATCGCACTTAATGAAAAATAACTTATTCACTGGTATATTGTAAATCAGGAAAATACCTGATACTAGAGTCCCAACATTAATCCTTATCAGATATCATGTTAAAAACAACCTGGGCTCTGATTCATCAAATAACCATGGTTTTAAATTTTATCCCTGAATCTGAGCCAAGAATACAAACTAACTAGAATCCCTTTCCCAACTTTTCAGGAAATTTAAGATAAAAAATAATTATTAAACAATAGTATATACCTCTTTTTAAAAATATATATATATTTTTATTGATTTCAGAGAGGAAGGGAGAGGAAGAGAGTAATAGAAACATCATTGATGAGAGAGAATCATTGATCGGCTGCCTCCTGCACATCCCATACTGGGGATCGAGCCCACAATCCAGGCATGTGCCCTGACCAGGAATGGAACCATGACCTCCTGGTTCATAGGTCGATGCTCAACCATCGAGCCATGCCTGCCAGGCAGGATTGCTTCTAATTGAAATATGAACCTTTTGGCACCATTGTGCCAAAATATTACTGTGGAATATCTTCGAATACAAATTTGACTCAACAACCCATTCAATCTTGATTAATTTCCTCATATTCCTAATAATACAGCAAACAGTAAAATCTCATAAATCAAATATCTTAAAATTGGCAACAGATTTTTCAAATTATTTTATCTTCATAAGAGCCTTATAATGTGGATAAACAGTTATAGTTTTCCCCATTTTACTGGAAAGACCAAAAAAAGACTTAAGGACTTATCCAGGATTATACACTATGTTACAAACAGAGCAGAGCTAGAATTCAAATTTTCATCCACTCAATCAGATAATACCATGAACCTATTAAATGAAGGGCACATAGAGAAGAGAAGGATCAATGAGACATAAACTCTACTATTAAGGAAACTGCTGTCTTATTATAAGAAGAGAAAAGTTGAGAGAGTTTACTAGCTACTACAATAAAGGAACACACATATTGTGTTATAATGGAATAGCAAAGATAGAAGGATGAGTTAAAGCTAGCATTCAAGAATTCTTTACTGAGGAGGTGTTATATGACATCTGAACTGGGTTTTGGAGGTACAGAGTGTGAGATAAGAAATGGTGAAGGTCATTACAGGCTGAGCAGAGTGAGAAATATGTGAATACTTGCATAAAATCAAGTAGACAGGTGTGTTTTTTTCAAATGTCAAAAATGATAATACATATTTAACCTAACTCAAGCCCAAACATGAATTTAATTTACAAATATTTACAGAAAAGGCTGCAAGTTGTTCCCCAATAACTGCCTTTCCCTACAGTTAAGACTCCCACGTGTTAGCTGGGAACATGGCTCCTGTCATAGACTATTCTCCAGCTTTCCATTCAGCTAAGTGCAGCTATGCGTCTGACCAATGCGGCGTGAAGAAGGCTGACGCATTCAACTTTCAGAACCTATCGAGGGGACGGCTATGCCCCTTCTTCCAGCTGCTGCTCAGGGCACGGATTCGGTGGCAAGCCATATGTGACCATGGGAATGAGGGGAAAAAATCCTAAGAATAGCAGAGCAACCAGACAGGAGGAGGACTCTGGCTCCCTGGATGTCTTGATATAGCAAAGCTATCTCATCATTACTCGGACTATCTACCTAAGACTATGCTATGAGATGGGAACTTTTAGTGAATTTAATCACTTATTTTGGGACTCAGTTATAGCCATGCAAACATGAACACTAGTTTATATAAACAGACTATGTTATAAAGTAAATGCAAATTAAAAGTAGTTTCTTGGTTCTCCATTTTCAAAACCTGAGAAAATAATCGGAAAATATGTAAATTAATTGCAGAGCATATAATATAATCAGTAATATAGAATTGTAATAGACTTTCAAATTTATTTTTAAATTTTAATCTATATAACCACCCTAGGTAGAATGATCAGAGATCAATATTATATTATAAGTGAACAGTAAGACAAGATATCATGAATTCATTACAAAAGTATTGGATAACTCCATATTTTATTGGGTTTAACCTCATTTAGTCCATAAAATTATCATTACATATGTTTCATTCTATATTAATATATTAAAGATCCACTTATAAAGAAAAGCCAAATAAGTTATTAATGCCAGAAGAATCAATAAATGAAATCTAGATTTTTGCTCTAAGTCCACATTAGTTGACAATGTTTTCATTTACCCATTGGACATCTCAGACCACTCAATTTTATTGTGATTACAGCTAAATATTTCATTGTTATCCATTTTATGCTTTATGGAGAACAGGGGGAAGTTTAACAAGTAAACATAACCATATTCTCATAGTGTGAGGGAAGAAACAGAATGGGCTGCAAGAGACCAATGGGGAACTTCTGAAAAGAGAACCATGGGTGCTGAATGACCTGTTTGTATCAAATTGTCCGCAGGCAAATCGATTTGCCTGTGCTTCATGTATTACCTCACATTACAGGAATTCCAAAGAATAAATGAATAAGCATACTTAATCAAATGACCTAAGGCATTGCGCCTCACCGAGCTCACTGGCTCTCTCCAACAGCCCATAGAGGCAGGAACGTTTGGGCAAGGTCTTGATGGCAACAAGAAGCTAATGGGGTCAGAATCAAGAATATCAGCACACCATTTGACATGTACATTACAGTATAATCTCTGTTGCACCCCTAATTCCTGCCAACAGTACAACAAATATGTTCTATGGAAGGCAAATAAAATCAGGTAAAAGAGTGACTAGATCAATGAAAACTCATCTCTTCAGGAAAATCAATTGAGAGACACGCCCCTTCTAAGAGTACCTTAGAATTGAAGATTTATCTTTTTTTATATGGCCTGGCCTTTACTTACTACTGGGCTTTTGTACTTTCTTTTGTAATTGTAAAATGATCAGTCTCTTCTAAGTTTAAAGATGAGTCAAATGTTTACTAGTTCTATTATGGTGGGCAACTCATCTTCTCTAAGTCTTAGCTCAGTGATATCCTATATAATAAAAGGGTAATATGCAAATTGTCCCCTCAACCGGGAGTTTGACCAGAGTTTGACCAGGGGGCGGGGCCGGCCTGCCAACCACCTGGGGCCCCTCCCCACAGCCGGCCCCACCCCTGATTCCCCCCTTCCCCCCATCCAGGGCAGACGGGCCGGACCCCACCTGTGCACGAATTCGTACACCGGGTCTCTAGTGTAAAATAAAAGTTTAAGACTATATGATTATCAAAGTCCTTACCAGAAACAAAATGTGATAGTTCTGACTTTGACTTCATTCACATCTTAGGTTGCATCCTGAAGTAGTAGAGGCTGCCCTGAATGTCTTCTGTTTTTAAAGAAGCTTGCTTTTTCAAATAATTCTCAAAAACATGGCTTGAAGTTGGGACAGTCTTGACACCAGCAAATGGCCCCTTGTATAATCTCCTCCTGACCTTACCAGAGGTGTGATTCCTCCACCATGAGGAATTATTCAGCCCACTACTCTCTCATCATGAGAAACACTTCTAATAAAGGTTAGGAATTGCTTCAGGGACCAGGTGGTTGAAAATTGGGAAAGACTGGACTTAACACTGAGATAACGATCTGCTCCTACTCAAAATTCTACAGACACTGTTTCACAATTCCTTATGAGAAAGGATAAGAATGCATCACTATATCTAATATACATGCTAATTCATAAACCTTTGAAAATTAAAATTTATAAGTGGCTGGCTCAAAAGAATGGTGTCTTAAAAAAAAGCAAATTAAGTAAATTCTAAAATTTAAAAATCAGGTTAACATTTCCAATATTAAGGATGGATAAAAGAGGTAAGCAGTAAAGCCCATTCTACATAATTCCAAATAGATTCGGCACTTTCCTCATTGGGGGATTTCAAAGTGCTCTTTGCTAATCCTAAAACTTTAGAATGTAAAATTTGAGCCATTATTGAAATTACCCCAGTAGCAACAACTTGTTCCATTAATTCTTTCTAGTGTGTGTATATATAAACTATATATATACACAGACACACACACACACACACACATATATATACACATACACATACATACATACATACATATATTTTATATATAGCAACCAGCAGGTCACCTTCAATAAACGCACTTTAAGCAACAAATTGAATAATAAACATTGTGCGCCCAGCCAGAGTGGCTCAGTGGTTGGACATAGACCTATGGTTCGATCCCCTGTGAGGGTACATGCCCGGGTTGCAGACTTGGTCCCCAGTGGGAACATGCTGGAAGCAGCTGATCCATGATTCTCATCATTGATCTTTCTATCTCTCTTCCCCTCTCCTTTCCTCTCTGAAATCAATTTTAAAAATGTATATTTTAAAAAAATAATGATTGTGCAAATTGTATTTCATGCAGACATGCCACAGAAGAACTGTCATGAATTCAGGCCAGCCACAGTGGCCTAGGGGAACGTGCTCTGCCTGGAAACTTTACACCTGTCTTCTGCAAAAATAAACAGAGAGGGAGTTTTTATACCTCCTGGTTGGAAATACAGTGGGTGGATGAGATGAGGAAGAAGGGTTAGTGGTTATGATGCAGATTACCAACAGTAAAGTATATCTGATTATGCTCTGCCTAAAAACATGCCCTGAGAAATGCAGTGATATGCTTCTGAAATTACACTCACTTATTCATTTGACCCCCCTCTCCTTTCCCTAGACAGATCTCTTAAAAGGAGAACAAGGTTGCTAAGTTAGTCTCCCCAGGCCCCTCCCATCTATTTTCTTTTAGCTCTTTCACAAGTGTAGGCACCGACAAGCTCTAAAATTGCCTTTTGGACTATCTACATACAGTAAAGTATATCTGATTATGCTCTGCTTAAAAACCTGCCCTTAGAAATGCAGTGATATGCTTCTGAAATTACACTCACTTATTCATTTGGCCCCCCTCTCCTTTCCCTAGACGGATCTCTTAAAAGGAGAACGAGGTTGCTAAGTTAGTCTCCCCAGGCCCCTCCTCAGCACGATCTAGTTGGTCCCATCTATTTTCTTTTAGCTGTTTCACAAGTGTAGGCACCGACATCCTCTAAAATTGCCTTTTGGACTGTCTACATCAGTGGTTCCCAACGTGGAGCACATACCCCACAGGGGGGCAATATGATTTTTAAGGGGGGCAATTCAATAATGAGTTATTAACAGTGAATTTTTTGCATGAGCTTCTAGGGGCTTCCTATACAGTATATAAATATATATTGTAACATATTTATGCATTTCAGTTCTCTATTATATGTTTTGAGACTTTACTTGCTATTTTTATATCACTTCATATTATTATTATTTTAACAATTTCTCAGTGATGTCTTCCTCAGTACTTCAACTGTCCTTTGGTTCTTTTATTTTTCTCTTTCATGGATGCCATGTTCTTTGAAAACTTGTTTAGACCAAGTTAATGGCCTTTTAGGCTTCCTCCATGTGACTAGGAGTTCACTTTTTGAAAAATAAGAATTATATGTCGTGGTTGGGGGGGGGCATCAGGTTTTTAGAGATGCTTAGGTGGGGCGTGGCCCAAAAAAGGTTGGGAACCACTGGTCCAGAGGTTCCGAGGACGGGCCCTGGGTTCAAACGCTGGCTTATCCTCCCGGCCCTGTGAGGTGCCATCATGTCACCTCTCCCAGCCTCACTGCCCTCCTAGTCGTACCCACTGCCCGCCGGTTGTTGGGGTGACAAGCAAAGGACTGGCACCATGGTCCTGGGGGCTTCTCTTCCTGCTCAGTCGTACCCAAAGGGGCCCCAGCGTGGAGTGGGCACATGCCCTCTTCTTCTCTAGCAGGAGAGGAGCGGTCTGACGCAGCCAGGAGGACGCGGCCCAGACGGGCCACTTTTTGGCGCCACGGCCAAGGGCACGCCAGGGGCGGCGGAGACAGGC